CGCTTGCTTAGGCTGGTCTAGAACTCCTGACTTCAAGCAATCCTCCTGCTTTGGCCTCCCAGAGTTCTAGGATTATGGGTGTGAGCCACCACGCCCAGCCTCAACAATGTTCTTTATCACTAGGCATTAACTAACTATACTAAGTAAAATTGAAAATGTGTTTTTTCAGAGTATAGTGCTTAACAGATATTTTGAAATATGAAATGTGGATAAATAGTATTTTAATTTTTAATGTTAATGCCCCTTTCTCTATTAGAATTAGTTGAATTAATATTAGTAATTATATGAATTATCAACTATCAATGCAAAATTAAGTTATATAAGTGCTATATATAATAACTTGTTAAGGTACAGGGATTTATCAGTCTTTTGTTACCACTGTGTCTAGCACTAGGACATATTCCTTTTACAGGAACTCAATAAATATTTTTTGAATGAAGGAAGAATACATATTTAATTTCATTCAAACACTTTTCAAGCTTTTTTTTAAAAACAAATGTATTATAAGTTTTATTTCTTGGTTTAATTTTATAAATCATTTTTTCCAACAGTTAAAGGACTGCAATGTCATAGCAACAAAGTTAGTTCTAACATTGGATGACTTATTATGGGTTTTAACGGATTCCCAGTTAAAGGCTATGGTACAATATGCAAAATCTCTTAGTGAAGCTATAGAAAAATCAACAGAACAAAGGAAGAGTATGGCTCCTGAACCCACACAGGTATGCTATAAAGTTTGTAGGAAAAAGATTTACATTACGAGTAAATAGTCTAAAAACAAGAATGATTTAGTTGGTGTTTCCTTTAAATGAAATAGATTGTGAGACATTTATTCCAAAAATCTTCTTTATCTAGATATGTTCTATATAATTTTATATAAATGGTATCTAGATGAAAACATATTAAATGTGTTAGTATCTATATAATGCTTGTTTTGTTTAGAGCTCTGTAGTAGGCACTAGAATTAATGATGACATAAAAGTATTTGATGCTATAATACCTCTTTAGATAGTCAACTTGAAAGGAGACATCACCTTTCTTAGTACATTAACCAGAGCACTTAGAGTACTAAATCATATCACAAGGGCTTCTACAAAGAAGTGATTCACTACTGCAGGATATATAACAATATATACAGGGCTCATATTTGTTATCTTTTTAATATGTAGAACTAATAATATTCAAATAAGCTGCCTTTAACAATCGTATTTTCTAAAACAAGTGCTATAAATATGTCAAAATAACTATTCAGATATTTACAGAGACATTGGGTTCATAGTCAAATCGTGTGTAATTCTTCGGTTTTTAAGTTTTAGTTTTTTTCTTGTAGAATTCAGAAAATATTTTAGGGGAACTGAGTTATTTAAAAAGAAAATGTATTGTGCTTATTATTTCTGAAAATATTTTCTTACTGAAAAATAAGAAAGTACTGAAAATATTTTCTTGCTGCAAATATTTA